TGAGAGAGAGAGAGAGAGAGAGAGAGAGAGAGAGAGAGAGAGAGAGAGAGAGACTCTTGATTCTGTCGTAAAGGAGAATACAGTGGCCTCTCTTTTTTGAGTGTTAGACGGGTCCTATTAACATCAGTTATCCTTAGTTTGTTTTGATATTTAGTTTGTTTTTGGGTACATCCCCAACTTTTGAAGATCAATCTTAGCCGGAAAGTAAGAAGCCAGAAGAGAATTCCTCAAGCAAGAAATGTGAGAAGAAACGGTTACATTTATTCATTTCAAGTGTAAAATGATGGGGCCTTACTACAAATCTAGTACTACGCTTAAATTCACAAATTCTAGGTATCATAGAGGAAAGTTCGTCAAAACCATCAAGCTGTAGTATCTGTTGATATTTCTTTTGAGTCGTCTATTAGACAGGACCCTCATATTCACAATAATTCTTTTCCTTACCAGCGTACTGATTGGCATTCATTTCGAGATATCACTTGGATTGAGATTCTTAAACTTCCTATTGAAAATTGAGTTATGTGTTCGATCCTCATTGGGTACTCCACACTTTCGGTCTTGTGCCACATGTATGCTACGCTTAGAAAATTATTTCGGCATTTCGACGTGGTGTAATGGTTAGCAAGCTTTTCTCACTAGATCAATTACAACTCAATGAGTTCGATCCTCACAGGACGCATCACAGTTTTGGCCTTGTGCCACATGTAAGCTACGTCTAGAAAATCATTTAAGAGTACCTCATCGTGGTGTAATGGTTAGTAAGCTTGTCTTGCCAAACAGTTACGACTGAGTAGTGAGTTTGAGCCTCACTGGGTACCCCATATTTTCGGCCTTGTGCCACTTCTAAGCTGTGCTTAGAAATTCACCATGAGTAGATTGCTTAGTCTAAGTGGTTTGTATCGTCATTTTAGGGCAGTTATTTTTGTACTTCCATTTACCAGGACTTCACCGTATCTCAGCTTTCAGCGCGGTCGTCTGATGCTAAAAATGGTTTTCATTTACTGGCTTCAGGTCACTAACTGAGCGTCATAATTCTTCAGACTCCAAACTACCAACGACTTATTTTCCATCCCAAAACAGGCACCCTTTTGTTTCTCATGCTTTTCTCGTTTTCTAAGCCATGTGTTTTTTTTACATAATTCTTTTTTTTCAACTTTCAGTGTCATGTCTCTTCCTCTAACTGGCTGGCGTAACTTTTATAAACTCGTGTAGACAAACATAGGAGTAAATATTTTATAATTCCTCTAACATCAGAGAGAAGTCAAATGTACGTATGAACTTCTAGTTGAAGGTGAGAATTACTGATAATATTGAAAATAGTCGTCGCTGTCAGTCGTTTTATTTTACTTGACGAAAAGAGCGGGAAAAGGTTAATTCGGGCATTTCTCTCTCTCTTTCTTTTAAATCATTACTTTTCTTTTAATGCCGTTCTGTTAAGGGGCGCAGAAATCGCAAAAGTTGTATAGAAAATATTTTCGCTTCAAATATTAAGAAGTTAGAATGACAAAATATCATAAAACCTAATAAAGCTACCAACTTAGGATCAAATAGAAAATTAATTCATATCTTTCTCACCATTTTACTTTTCTTGCTGGGGTATTGTTTGATTTTTCGATTCAAATTTTAGCGTTGTCACGAAAAATTAACCGAAATGTTTAAAAAATTTTGCAAAAAAAATGCGTGAGCAATGCTTACTGGCATATTAACAGTAAGGAAGTATTTGGCATTCATTGACTGAGCAGCCAGTACGACTGTTGGTTTAAATTTATGAAATCTTTCTTTGAAAACATTGTTTTCAGGAAGATCGATTTATTAGGTTTCGTACTTTATCGCTCTTTCCAGTATTGATGAGGGGGTGGGGGTCTTACCTAACCTTTTATTTGAAGTCGTGTAGAACATTAACATCTTGATTATATCTTTATTTTAATACATGTATTATACATTTTAGCTGTTTCTGCCGTTTAGTATTATTTGGTAGTTCTTTGTGATTCTGTAGGACCAGTTTTCAAGGTTCAAAAAAAGTTCGTCTTCGTCATGACTTATAAGCTTCAATCATTCAAAGCCATTTTTAATTCATCATCTGAGAAAGCGGTTGGATATAGCTGACAGTTTAGATATGTTTGAACGAGTTTGGCGCTATATATGATAGCTATTTGAAAGTCTAGATTTGACTAGGCTACTTAAGAACATATCTCGAGTTTTTAGGTTAATGTTAGCGTTTTGTATTTATTGTGGTATTGTGAGAAACAAGGCAACAATAACGCATAACGGAAGTGAATACGTTAGTGCAGAATACTTAACACGAAATCATACGCCCCCCCCAAAAAAACATTCTTTTTTTTAAAATTTTTTTTCCTATTAATATGGAATCACGTTGTTTCACGTGGAATCACGTTGTTTCACGTGGAATCACGTTAAAAGGCTCCGTTGATTCGCAACCCATTTTCGTTTCTGGTAATTAATGTCTTCAAAATGACTCTTTTTTTTCTTTGCATACTAGGAAACACTTTCCAAGACAACGTTTTACCAGGAAAATGAATTTTGACAACCTTATTGAAATGATTGGAGAGTTCGGGTCCTATCAGAAAAGGGTACTATTTTGCCTTTATTTGGATTCTATTATGGATGCCTTTCATTCTGGTCTCACCATGTTTATTTTGCCACAATTGAACTTTCGGTAAGTTTTTCAAGTTATTATACTGCCATTGTCATCACTCCTTCCCTTTCTCCCACACACCAATACCCCCACCATTTTCCGATTAATTTCCCAGATTTCAGTTTTTGCCTTGTTCCAATTTGCTTTGCATGCTAAAGTTGCTGAAAATTAGTCTGTTCCCTGTGCCGCTCTAGTAAGTATCCGACTCCTCGTACCATCCTTTACCCTTACAAGAACCGAAGGCCGAAAATGGGATACTGCTGTCATATTTGGGAAGGAGCTGTCCAGTCTTCACTTTTCAGTCTCGATAATACAAAAACGTCTCCACGTCTTTGTGGGTAACAAATTATTTTTCACCCTCCAACCTCTCTCTCTCTCTCTCACAGACGTAACGTCGCGAGCTTCTCACCATCCTTCCATGAAATGTGCTCTGACGAATTACATTCCTTAGTTCCACCAGTTCTAGCCTTCGCGACTAAGACCCGCCATGCCACGCATATTGTACCAAACACCCTCATTCTCTTCGTATTTCATTGGTGAGATGCAGGTTTCACCCGACCAACCTCTTCCCGCGAACCACTGCTCCGTGGAACCGACTTCTAAGAGGATGTTTCCCCGATCACTAAAATCTTAACGGTAAACACTAGACTTGAACAGGTTATCTTCGCCATATATCCGCATAAACTGTGCCTGTTACTCTAGAACCCTCTACCTTGAGTGACTTCCGGGCCTTATACAGAGTGAACCTTACTGTAAAAAATGTCCATGAAGCCTGTTATTTCACTTGGTATAAAAAAGCATTCATTTGGAAAGATGTACCAAATTCCTTAGAAAAGAGAACAGGTGAAAGAGAAATAATGAAACAGTTTTAATTTTTAATAATACGAAGCTCGAGAGCCACTCAAGAGAGAGAGTTAGTAAATTAAGTGTGTGATATCAGTTTAAGAGAATGAAGTAGGAAGTGATAATTATGAGGATATGGAGGATAGATAACGATTGACCCATAAAGTGGGGAGATTAAAATTGAAATTTTCGGGGGAAGCATCCATGTAAGTGTCTGTTCTACAAAGTAGTATTCTTTGGTCCTACGGCCATATCACGTCGAAACACCGGTTGCCGTACGATCGCCGAAGATAAGAAATGTCGAGCCTGATCAGTACCTAGATGGGTGACCGCTTCGGAATACCAGGTACTGTAAGCTTGGATATACAGACGGTGTAATGAATAATGGCTCGGAATTGTTAATCGGACAGTCGAATTCTAATTCCAGTTGAGTTTGTTATATTCACTTACGCGAAAATACTCTTGGGAAAGTTATTAATCGACCATTTCTCCCCTGCTATGGGTTAATTAGTAAGAAGTTTATCATTAAATACTTATTATCGCAAAAAATACTTATAATCGAAAAATATTTCCTGATTTTAAATAACCTGCAAAGAGTTGATAAATGGTGCAAAACGAATCAATATTTATTTACATTATTTATATTCGGGCTGTTATGCTAATTTTCATTGCCATATTCACAACGTTTCGGCCGTTGTACGCTCTGGCATTCTTCAGGTGGCTGGAATTTCGAACCGAATCTTTTATTTCGTATATCGTGTAGATTGATCTAGTTCCACATGCCATACTTCTTCCAGATGGTCTCAGTTATTCCGATTTCAATATTTCTTGGGAAAAAATTGAGTGAAACTTCCTCCTTGAAATTGGTAAAAAATTGAGAAAAAATGGGGAGGAGGTTACAAACTGAAATAATGTCATCCCACACAAGACTGCGAAAATGACTTTTAATTCTATCAAGGCGGGAAAGTGAGGATTGAGAAGCTCCAGCCCAGATATAGTAACAACATAAGAGAAACACTATTAACACTATGATTTAATATAATACATATTGTTTCTCGTCTAACTTGACTTTTGCATATTTGTGATAAAAACAACCAAAATTTAAAATAATTAATAATTCTTTATATTTAGAAGTTTTTTAAATTCATCTCCTCGGTACCATTTTTTTGATTACTTAACTAAAAGCAGAAACATCGATGACTTTCTTGGAATTGGACCAGCTGTAAAAGTCTGACCAAGTGGAACTAAAAAATAGAACTCCTTGGAACACTCCCCATGGAAATAACAATAGGCTTACAATGTTATGTCTGTGGGGAAGAGGTTAGAAACTGAAATAATGTTACCCCTCACATGACCGCGTTAACAAATTCGAACTCTGTCAAGTATGGAGCATGTGAGAAGATCTAGCCTACATCTAGCAGCAGTACCCTATTTCTTTTAGCATAATTTGACAGGATTCAAATACTTTCTAGGCGGTAGAATGAGCCAATCATTTTCCCAACATTTTTAGCAATGAATCGTATACAGTGATACCCAGGCTTAAGTAGTTTCGAGTTAAGTCATTTTCGAAGATACGTCAGTTTTTCTGAAATTTTATATGGAAAAATAAAACTCGCTTTAGGTGGTTTTTCTCGAGTTTACGTCGGCCATTAAAAATATTAGAAATGTCAAAACACTAAAATAGCACACATAAAATCATATTTAAATAATAATAATAATAATAATAAAAAAATAGCATAATGAAATATGTTCAATAGATGTAGTTATTACAAATTCCTGGATGCACTCGAGCGTTGTATTCCGTTCCAACAACGATTTTGAATTCAGACTTGTTTACATCTGTACTCTGCCGTTGTCTTTCTTTCAATTACATTTCAACTGTGATTTAGAATACATTTTTGCCCATAGCTCCGACGAAAATTCCCAGTGCTAATGCTAAGCGTAAGGCTATATCGCTGGAAGATAAGGTGTAAATTATTTTATTCAGAATGCTGTACAAACATATCATAAATACGAAATACGGCAATGGGGAGTGCTTATTTGCGGTGTATAGTGTGGTTATTTCAATTTAAGTTTTTTTCTACTTAAGTCGTGACGTTTGGAACCAAAGTGAAGACTTAGGATGGGGTATACCTGTATATGAGTTTCACTTGAGGTCGGGGGGAACTCGAGTCCCAATAGACATACAAAACATTTCGTTGAGAGCGCAAACATTCTTCGTGATCGGAGATAACTCAGACTCTGATCGGCGATAACAAAATAACAGCTTGGTTTTCGAGTTATTGAAAGTTACCAGCCAATTCTCTCTGTGATGTTAGAGCTAGTTTAGAGGCGAGATTAGGTGCAAGGCTCCGAACATTTTGATTTTTTGGAGGCACTTCCATAACTGTGGTATCAGCTGAGCAAATGTTTACCAATGATCTGAGAACGATCCTTGGTAGATCGTTAATACAAAGTAGAAAGAGGGTAAGATCAAGGAGAAAACCTTGGAGGACACCAACATTAATTTCATGGGCTCCAGAAGACTGGCCATTCATAACGACGTACATACTTGAAAGAAAGGTCTTGATAACTGCATAGACACTTCCAACAGTCCTCGAACTGCATCATTTGTGATATTGAGATATTTAGAATTGTTACGTCGCATCTCATTTTCAGTGAATGAATTCTTCGCTGTGGTTCTGCTTGTTAACGTTCAAGATTCGCGAGCGTACAAAAAATTTAAAAGGATCCGTCCACGTAAGAATCTAATCTTTGATTCCAGGCAGACAATTTTGTTTTTCCCGATAGTATAGTTTTTTTTTAGTTTTGCCACAGCCGCTATTGTTTGTGCCGCTCTTGAAAATATTTTGGAACTCACTTCGAGCCAAGATCTTTTAATAAAAAGCAGAAAGTCGGTTCAGTCCTCACAATGATATTAGAAGTTTTTCACATGTTAGTCTTTTATTTGCAGCCATTCACTGATATCCCCCGATCCTTTTTTGAAGATTATTCCCTCTAGATAACACTTTTTCTATTATTCATTCGAACTGAACACCATTGTTCTAATAAAGGCATTGCCGCCTAGTGCCGCGAGTGCAAGGGAGATAAATAGATCTCGAAGATTAAGGAATGGATTCTACATCTATTCCATGTCCGTGTGATGATTGAAACAGCACGCACGAGATTGGCAAGTTCTGTCACAGCAGTTGTAGGAGATGTGACACTCGGATGGAGTTCTGATTTTTCAGCGTTACTGTTTTTTTCATAGACTAGGTCTGCGAAAAGTCCTTAGGCTTTCATTTTAAAGTGGAATGCAAAATGAAGGACACCTGCATTCAGAAGACTGTCCATTCACAAGGACCTCTTATGGACCATCCTGAGAGAAAGGACTTGATCGCTGCTTGGACACTTCTAGAGATGTCATAACTGGAGAGTTTGTGTAGTATGCTACATCTTGTCAAAATATGAAAATGCGAAAATATCGCAGTATCTGTTAGATGGAGACCAATAACGTTTGGAAAACATTAAACCAATATATTCTAAGTTTACAAGAATTTGAATTTCATGGGTAAAATGTGCCTGTTTTTGAGCACTGACTGGATTGAACGCATTTGGTCAGTATTGCATTTTCTTATGAATTATAGTGAAACTTACTCGCCTCAGTTATACCATAAATAAATAAATAAATATTAGATGAGGCAATATAAAAATAAACATTTAAATATTTCGTTTAATAATACTATCTCGCCTGTAGACACACTCGGATTGATTTCTTTTTTTTTCTTACGAAAAGAAACTGCCAAGCTTAATACTATCTTAATTTTCCAAAGCACAAAAATACAATTGTTTTTTTCCAAAGCACAAAAATACAATTGCTTGTAAAACCAATTAATGATTTATGGAGAAATAGGGAAGATTTGAAAGCGAAGTAGTACTCTAATGAAGTGTATAGTGTCGTTTAGATGATAACAGATTTGAATCTTTCATATCTAACATTACCTTTTATTCAGTTCAATATTTCGGCAATTACTTTCTCGGCCAATGATCTTGTGCGCGGCTTGCAAACCCCATTATCCGATATGTGAAACTTTACATTTTTGGTCTGCAACTGAAGGGACTGCCCAATTCCTCTCTGGAGGGCGGTTGTTTATATAACCGCGTTATTTCGGATGCAGGTGTGAGGTCATGTGCTACTCCATTCGGCAGATCGGGATCGACCCTGCATCTGACTTCCTTCAGAGTTTGGTGTGAAAATGACTGCAAACCTATTTTGGCATAATACTAGAGTAGCAATATCAAGATTTATTAAGGAAAGCAAGATATCCTGGACAATATATGGTTTCAGCAAAATAAAAAAAAAAACAAGATGTGAGTAACAAATTGGGGATGTTAGCATTAGACAGGTACAGAAGTTTAAATATTTGGCAAGTGACAGAAGGTGGAAAATGTGATACTGAAACCCGGGGTACTGTAAGAAATTTGTGCCATATTAAGCAAGGATGATTCGAACAACTTTGTAAATGTGCTGCTTTTGAAACTATCTCAGTTACAGGAGGGCAACTCATTGACCCTTCTTGGTTACACGTTTGTCACTGTCATGAAATAGAGCGATTATATTGAATCAATTGCTAGGTCTGCTGCTAGGAAAGTTGGTTCACTCTGTAGCAACAGACAGTTTTTCTCGTCAGAATCCATCTCTTAAATTTATAAATCTACCATTCGTCTGTGCATTGAATATTGCTGGTCTGGTACTGCTGCTAGATATTTTAAGAATCTCTGGAGGAAAAGAAAAAAAAATGTTATCGGTCCTGTCCTGTCCTGGTATCTCGACTCAGTCACTTTCTCACCATCGTGGCGTGGCTTACTTCTGTCTTCTCTATAAACATTTTAATGGCAATTTTTCTGATGAGCTCTCCACTTTTGTATTTCGGCTGCATGAATTTAAGTACACTACTACATTGGCAACTAGGTCTGATCGTTTTACTGTTAGAATAAATTTAACCGTAAGTTCTATTCTAATAGTTTCTTTTCCCCTCTTCTCACTCACCTGTAGAACTCTCTTCCAATTTCTTGCTTCCTGCGTTCTTCAAAAAATTAAATGCAACGTCAATCGCCATCTGTCTTCCTGAAACCAGTTCTTTTTTTTGTCTTTTTTCACTAAAATATTTGCATTCTCTTTCACTCCCAGTAACTCCTTACGTCTTAATGACATTATTGCTGTGCTTTGGGTGAAATTTAAAAAAAATATGAGAGTAAATATTTAATACGTAAAATTATTGTTTATCTACTTCTGGACTTCGTCAGTTGATCTCGGCTGAGGGTGTGCGGTTTAGGGACTTTATTCAAGCGTGAATATGAGAGATTATTTTCTTGTCTTTTTCCTCTCGGGTGGGGTGCTTATATAACTTCCTGTCACCCGGTTGTCCTACGTGTGCACATATTATGCTCAGGTGGGTTAACCACCTGTTTACATGTCGGGGACAGCCACTGACATCATGTAAGGCAAATATAGATCATTTCTTGACTAGACATGAAATAATTGTTGTTGCAAAGCTTTTTGTAGGACATATAAAACGTAAATCGGGAAAAAATTAAATGTTTAATTACCTAATAAACAGGGAAGAGTTGTTAGTACATCATTGTCGACCTTTATAGGAAGGCAATTAATAAAGAAATCGCCAAGAGTGATATTTATAATTACAGAAAAACTGAATTTATATTGCAATAAAACAAGTCACTCGACAATGCCGTCTTAATAAAGTTAACACGAGATCTAAAGTTTTAATTGCTAAATTTACGTTCATTAGCATATTGTGATTGTGAAGATGGCAGTGCGTATTGGTAATGTTAATGACCATCAAAAATCTCCATGTTTATGAGTAAAGAATCTCGTCTAATGTTATTATTTCTCTGGTTCTCAAAGATGAATCATAAACATTTTTAAAATTCCAAACTTTCATTTTTGACTGCTGCTATTAATTACGAGTCGCTATTCCCGATTTTATATATTTTAAATTGCTCAACGAATAATCTCGGATATAAAAATTCTTCCGAAAATTGACTTTGAATCTACGACCTGAAAATATCTAAATCAACGTAGCTACAAATATTATTACTACTGATTATTTTTTTGCGGGTTATCAATCTTTTTAAGATTATTTAAAGCCGAAAAATGTTTTTGGATTTTGAGATTTTTTGTGATAATAATGATTTTCTGATACAAGTCTTACTATTTAGCTCATACCTGAGAGGAGACGAATTGGATTCATACATTTTCTCAAGGGTATTTGCACGTTTATTGAATATAATGAACCCAACTGGAATTCGAACTCGGCTTTCCGGTTTGTCCAGTTAATCTATTTTACGCAGGCCGATAGACGAAAGAAATACTCTTTAAAATAAGCGGAGAATCTAGCCGAAGACGGGTATCCGTTTGAAGTAATAAAAACTGTCAGATTAAAAAATTCATTAATTCTTTAAAAAATTGCTTTGTTTACGTTGCAGATACGAAACTAAGTAGATATACGATATCTAGAAAAATCTGAACAAGTGAATGTGCTTTAAAAGCAAAACACAACGTTGCTTTATTTCGACGTTCTTCGTAGCCGAGTGATCAAAGCACGTCGGATCAGACGATGGTTCCTCCTGCAAAGGGGACGCAGATTTTAATCCTGCCCGAGGGAACATTTCTTTAAGTTTTTTCGAATACACGGGCTGGTAGACGAAATATATATCGTTTAAGCATAACGTCTATTCAAATACGGAGAGCCACTAAAAATAACGTTTGAAGTAATCTATCTATCTATCTATCTATCTATCTATCTATCTATCTATCTATCTATCTATCTATCTATATGTGTGTGTGTGTGTGTGTGTGTGTGTGTGTGTGTGTTTGTGAGTCAAAGTTAACAGTTCAAAGTTCATGTTTTAAAATTACTGCCCATTCTGTTCAGTCCTCACAATGATATCATTAGAAGTTTTTCACATGTGAGACTTTAAATGTATTTTTCTATTGTTTATATCTCATCTATTTGCATCCATTCGCTGATATCCCCCCGATCCCTTTTTGAAGATTTTTCCCTCCAGATAACTATAAACCATAGTCATGGAGCATTAGAATTATAATCTTTCTCGGAAATCCTGCACATACGTAGGAAAAAACTCTAAACTTGGCAGGTTCATATCTTCTAAAGTAGACTTAAAACCCTCACAAAATTTTTTGGTGAACTTGAGCAGGCATTGTAGATGTTAGGCAAAAAATATTATGAAAATTGAAGAGGACGTATATTCGATAGACTGACCGTAAGCTCCATAGGTGAAAACTTGTTAATTTTGGGGTCATGCATTTGGGTGAGTAAAATAAAATTTTCTATCAAATGTAGGCTTAAAATAATTAAATATTTGGATTCTACACTTCTTATTTGCCCGACATACCAAATTTCAGAAATATTGAAGGTATGGAAGTATTTTTTCTTTAATTTTTAAAAAACACTGAGATTCGGCGACGTTGCGCGGCCTTAATTTAGAGGCAAAATAGGAAAATTATACACACCTCTCTTAAAATTGGAACGGTAAAGTCTAGCAAAAAATAATTTGGCACACTTTTCTAACTCATAAAGGGGAACATTTGTCCCAAATTTCAAGTAATTCGGTGTCGGTGGGTGCAGATTTCAACTTTTTGCTAGTGTTTTCATATGGAATGACCCCAAAGTGAAAACCTTGGAGGTCACCTGCATTGATTTTATGGGCTTCAAATGACCTCTTTTGACCTACCTGAGGGAGAGACTTGATCACAGCTTGGACACTTCTAGAGATGCCATAGCTGGAGAGCTTGTGTTGCATCTATCTATGTCGCATCTTATCAAAATATGTAAATGCGAAAATATGTTAGATGAAGGCAATCATGATAATCAAGCCGAGATATTTGAATTGACTTGCTACTTTAAGTTCATATTGTAAGTTTGGTTAAAGTTTAAACATCTGGGAAGTGTTCTGACGGAGGACGGTAGGCGCGACGCTGAGATTCCAAAAGCAGTACTGCGAGACAGGTAGATTTCTTTGGTTACAAAGGAAAGAGTACTGAGCTGCTACGTGACATCTGTCCTCCTATGCGGCAGCGATTGTTGGATGGTCTCCTCAAAGATGAAGAGACTCGAGGCAGCAGAGATGTTGTTCTACAGAAGGATGCTAAGGATATCATGGCACGAGCGTGTGAGCAACGATGAGGTCTTGGAAAGGATGAAAACAAGGAGGAGGCTTATACTTAGCATAAGGAAGAAGTAGATGAAATTTTTGGGACACGTAATGAGAAAGGAGGGCCTGGAGAATCTGATACTCACAGGTTGAATAGAGGAAAAAAGAGACAAGGGAAAGCAACGCACGACATACCTAGCGGGCTTAAGCAAGTGGATGGCAGAACGTGTGGTCTGTGGTAGTTGGCAGAGGCACGAAACTTTTTGAGCGCTACAAGGGATAGTGGGAAGTGAAGAGCTATGATCGCTTATAACCTGAAAGGACACGGCACATAAAAAGAAAAAAAAACTGTAAGTTCCTGACCACATTCTTCTGTCTTGGTTGAAAGCTCCTCTCATTGTTCGTTAAGAATTTTTTTTCGGGATTAATCTCCATTTCATCTCCGGTTCATCCAGGTTCTTCAACAGACTGAGGACTTCCTCTTCTTTACCAATCTGACCATAAATGTCGTCTGCAAATCGGATGCTTATCATATACGCATAATCATAGATTTTTTTGCTATAGATTTTGATTGATTTCTTTTTGATTGATATTTTTTTACTTTCTTTTCCAAAAGAATTTATGCGCAGGAAATTCGTTCTTTTTTCTTTCCAGGTGTTCCCTTCCAGGATTTAAAAATGATACATATAAGATCCAAGGAAGACATCACGAATGGATCATTAATCAAAGCATTCCAGTAAGCACAGTAAATGGTGACACGGCTTATAATTCTTGTACGCGTTTCTATGTTTGGAATGATACAAACGTTACTTTAGAGAAATGCAATTCTTGGGTTTTCGACAAATCTGTGTACAAGGCAACACTTATTGAAGAGGTAAGGTGAACGTTTCTTTTTAGTTTTGTTATACATGGGGCTGCAAAAGTAGGTATACAATAAGTATTATACCAGTATTATCAGTATTATAATGTATTTAGTACTAGAATTTATTTAGTTCATTAAAATCATTTTTAAATTTTTATTTTCATAATTTTTATTATAATTTTTATTTTTTAATAAATAATAATAATAGTAATAATAATAATGCACAATATTGGTACCCACTGAGTATAAAACCCGGCATGACAGAGTGGGCCAATATCTGCACTGGAAAATATGCAACTTCTACGGGAAAGAAACTGGTATGAACACCACCCAGACCCGGTTACGGAGATAGGACCTGTTACAATTCTATGGGACTACACAAAAACAATCAAAGCCAACCGCCCAGACATTGTTATTAGAGACCACAAACAAAAAAGTGCCTCCTTATTGATATGGCAATCCCTGCAGACTGCAATGTATCAAAAATGTGGCACATGGGAACATCAACAATCCCTGTTGTAGTTGGAGCCCTAGGATTGGTTGGAAAAGATTCCAGTAGACTAATTGAAGGGATTCCTGGAAGTCAACTCCTCAAAGAGATACAAAAAATTGTTTTGACAAGTACAGCCCACACTTTACGAAGGGCTTTATCTATGTAATTTTTTTTTTCAGTGGAAAGTGTCATGATGCCATTTCTAAACTTAGGTCCCTGGGAGGGAGCCGGAAAGAAATGTGTAAACGCCAGAAATCAAAGGAAATAAAAGCAGAAACAACAACAATAATAATAATAATAATAAAAATGTTTCACAGGTAAAGGGGAGTGTTTGAATGACAGGAGCAAACAGTTTGAACATTTGGGTCAACTTTACTTTTCAAAAGTTTAAATGCAATGTCAATCGTTATCTTCAGTCTTCTTAATTCCAATTCTTTTATTATTGTTTCTCCTTAAAGGAAATGCAAGTACATTCCAAAACACAAAAGACACTCTAGAAGGTCATACAGTTCACTGCCGAAAATAATAAACAATAAACAAAAACATAACGAAAATATTCCCAACTAATATTTAAACAGGGAGCTGCAAAAGTAGGTATACAGTATCATACTAATATTATAAGAATTTTTCTAGGATTCATTTAATACGGGAATTCATTTAATTCATCAAGGTCATTTTTAATATCTTTATTTTAATAATTTTATTATAAGTTTAATTTTTTAAATAAATAAATAATAATAATGTTTTGCAGGTAAAGAGGTAAAAGTGAATGACGGAGTTAAGCTGAACATTTGAGGAATTGATATCTTTATTATTGATATTGAGTTCTGATCTCGAAGATAGGTATGATGGTTGTATACTGGTCTCGCGATGGGTAACTGGTGGTAAAGGGAGGTTGTCGGCTTATCCTTACATCGGGTCGGTTGACCGAGAAACCGTTGTGAACTGTCGCGAGGGTCACCGAGTGGGTCCATTTACGCAGTCATGGTGGATACAGAACTCAGTATTTTTGCAGTGCATTTACTTTAGCGACAACGTTCGTCGTTGGTTCGGTTGTGTATTTTTTATTTTGGGGAGACTTACCGGATCCGATGCTCAGAACTCATTCGCAGAGATCGACTTTTTATATTTATTTTTCCTTTCGCGACAGGTTCTGATGTAGACTAAATCAGAAAGCAGTCAAATTTGAAGCGGAGTATAACGGTTTGATTACAGAACAAACATGTGAAATATGTTGCAATTCTTCATAGGTACATGCAAATATATAGAGGCTATAAGTAAATGTCTTTAAAACACACATTATTTGCTCTTAAACATTTCCCTATTTAACCCATTAATTCTTGCTGAAATTTTTAGACATTAGCAGCCGTGACAGGAATTTCCGTTATTTATAGTGTTGGGTTACTAAATAAGTAGACGTATAATCGGGACCCTCGCGCAGTCTTTTACCGATGGCACAAATTACACTATATTGTGTGTCGATTTTAGTTGGCGTTAGTATCGGCACAAACTGGGAAAGGCCGGGTGTACGTGCAACAAAGTAACGTGGGGTGTGTGTGTGTGTGTGAAATTATCACCACTGTAGGAATTCTATTTCCAATATATCGGTTATATATTCACGGATTCTGGTGGAGTAGGTAATACTTGGAACATCTTGGGATATCTTCACTGCTGTTACTGTCTTCTCTCGCGACAGACTAATGGACTAGACCATATCTTGGGTCAATGAGAATCCAGAGTGCTCCTCCGTCCATCTGTTACTGAAACTGTCATTACATCTTGACGGACAGCTTTTCACCATTTCACTGCCGGCTTCTTTCTGATCGCTGTCGCGTCCACCATGCCTATAAGCCTCTGACCGCAATTCCCTAGCATCTGGCCAAGTGGCAATTGATCCTGAAAATTTTCATTTATTTATATATTTGTTTCGCTTCCTCTCTGCTTATTCGTGAACAGCGGGTGGCTGATTTGCAGATGTTACTTTTAGACTTTGTCGTCGCGGTCATAAAACCTGACAAAGTTAAAATCATTTACGGCCCACTTGACTTCGTGTGAATTCTAAGCCCATTATGTCACTGAATGACGTTGGATTTTTTAGGTCGTCAAAAGTAGATAATTGCCTAAAAATTTATAATAAATAAATAATAAAACATTGATAAATAAATACAGCGAGGGAGAAGTCGGAAGCACGCCAAAGAAATTTTTATTTTCTAAAAAAAAAAAGCGAACTTGCTTACAAAGTATAGAAACATGTTACATGTCTTCTCTCCGATCCTGAAAAGGAAAGCTAGTGGATGTGACAGAAGGATATCTTCACTCATTTGCACAAGCCTGCGTCTGCAGTGCGTACTCACAGGGAAAGAACTAGTAAATTTAACCGAACAACATCGTCCCAATTAATAATGAGCGGGAAAAAGAAAGCATGTAACACTTTTAAGGCTAAATACAAAAAAGAATAATCATAATTGCTTCGGTTCACCAGGTACTAGATCAGATGGTAATGCAGCTGTAGTGGGTAGGTTTAACGGAAAATCAGTTAAAAAAGGGAGCTTTCAGCCTCTATGAATATTTGCCGTTGAATATTTACAAGTTTCGTAGCGATATTGTAGCCTTAGATCACTCAAGGAGGACATTTCTGTTAGACATTAACTGGCAGGGGGGGAGTTACCATTTGTTGAATATTTGAACATTTTCGAAACAAATTCACACACACACACACACACACACACACACACACACACATATATATATATATATATATATATATATATATATATATATATATATATATATATATCAGGTCATCCCATAAGTTCTGTCCGAATTTTAACTTTTTGTTAAAATGAATGAAATTTAAAGAGTATTTTATAATGTCTAATGGAGCTGAACATTAATTTTATGTTTAGATGCGTTTAAACTGATCAAATTCTATTTCAGAGAACAATAAAATTAAATTTTGTTTGATTAAGACCCTGCTAACATGGAAGTACCCAAGAATCATTTGAGGCACATAATGCTTTATGAGTTCAAGAAAGGAAACTCAGCAGCCGAAGCGGCTAGAAACATTCACTCAGTTTATGGAGAGGAATGTGTGAATGAAAGAACTTGCAGAAGAAGGTTTGCAAAATTCAGAGGTGGAGATTTCCCCCTTGAAGATGAAGATCGAACTGGACGTCCATTTGAGTTTGATGAAAAGCTTTTTGAAGCACCCCTTGAAGAAAATCCTGCTTTATCATTTGAGGAATTGGCAGTGGTTCTCAGTTCAAACCATACAACTGTTAATCGTCATCTTCAACAACTTGGAAAAGTTCCTAAACTTGGAAAATGGGTGCCTCATGAATTATCTGAAAACAACATCAAATCCCGAGTTGACATCTGCACTTCTCTCCATTCTCGCCAACTTGTTTCACCTTTTTTGGATAGACTTGTGACTGGCGACGAAAATTGGATCTTTTATCGAAATGTTAAGCGTCGTAGACAGTGGCTTGATAAAGGGGCAGACCCCAGCCACAGCCGAGAAGGGAACTTCATTGGCAAAATGTTCTTCTTTCAATCTGGTGGGATCGCCAAGGAATAATCCACTTTGAATTCTTACCACCTAATGCAACAATTAATGCTCAAATATACTGTCAGACATTAGAGCGTTTGAACCAAGCTTTGAAGAAAAAAAGACCTGCTCACTAGAGTGAGTTGAAAAGAGGTGATGTTTCATCAGGACAATGCGCAACCCCACACAGCAGAAAATCACGTCACAAAAGATCGAAGAACTTGGTTGGGAGAAAATTCCCCATCCACCTTATTCTCCCGACCTTGCTCCTTCAGACTACCATTTCTTTCATAGCTTACAGAATCATTTGGAAGAAACAGCTTTTGTAACACAGGAAGAGGTTAAAACTGACATTTGTGAGTTCTTCGAATCAAAGCCAAAAGAATTTTTACAGTAATGGAATTAGTAAGCTTGTTAATAGATGGAAGGAAGTCACAGATAATCAGGGAAAATACATTGTTGATTGAATCTGTAATTAAATGTAATATTTGGTCACTTGTTTTCTTTATTCAAAATTCGGACAGAACTTATGGGATGACCTGATATATATATATATATATATATATATATATATATATATATATATATATAATCATTCGTAGACAGTACTGTTTCGCAGCTTCTTAGTACGACTAGGCATCCGAATGCCTCAAGTCAGGACCGAAACCCGACTAATTTGGTGTCATTCAGAGTTTCTACCACTAAGCTATCATCACTCGACAGAGAGGAACAGCTAATTCTAGTCTATTGTTTTTACGAAAGTAAAGAAACGCCAATCAGTTAGTGCTCCAAATTCATTTTACTGAAGAGCTTTGCATTAGCGTAGGTAACTGTTGTTTATAGAATCAGCTTATCTCTCAACAGTGCTCAATTGAAATATATTTTCAAGAGTTATATATATATATATATATAAGGTATAATATGGCTCAGAAAAGAAGAGAAATATTCATTCTTCAACGAATTATTAACCTTCTGCTTCTGGGCGAAAATTAAGTGACAATATGTTTCTTCGAAAAACTTTTAGTAGTATTATTCGGTTTCGTCTTTCTTACCGGAGTCCAATTTTTAGCGGTGTTGTATCGTTTCTTGAACTGGAATATTTTCTTGTGTTAAATGGATACCAATAAAAAGTGCATAAATTATTTCTTTAACTTAACATAAAGATAACGAAAATGCTGAAATCGGTAGACAATTGCTGATACTTCCTGACAAGTGCACTGAACAATTACACAAAGGTTCCTCAACGAAATTCTAGAGTCGGGCTGCCGAATAAAATGTCAATCATCAAACTGAAAAAAAATCATATTTGTTTTAATTATATATACCTATTTCACGTAATAGGTTGTTGTAGACATAATGTGGTGTGTTCTATGTAAGGTATTACGTGGCCTGGTTAGGACTAAAAAGTGGGTTCGCTCGAGGACTAAGAGGTCTGTCTGGAGGGGAATAGATACACGTCTTACCACTCCTGTGTTTGAATTGTGTGTGTGTGAGCGTGCGAGAAACAGAGATGAAGAGGGTTTATGCCTAATCAAGCGCAGATATTTTTTCATCATATCACCTCAGGCAAGGCGATAAAGCCACTAAGACGTAATAATTTGAGAGAGAGAGAGAGAGAGAGAATAAATAAATGACAAGGATTCGAAGATACAGATGGCGACGATTGATGTTGAATTTAATTTTTTAAAAATCTTAATTGGCTGGAAAGCAAGAAACCAAGCGAGAGTTCCTCACGCGAGAAAAGAATCTATTAGCATAGAATTTACGGTTGTATGTAGTAATTTCAACAGTAAAACGATGAGACCTAGCTGCCACTTTAGTACTGTGTAAACCATTTACCAACGACGAACTCTTTGCGTCAGTCTGAATGTGTCAATAATATTCAATGCAGGGGCAAATGGTAATATGGTATAAATGTGTAAGATAGATTCTGGAAAGAGAAATTTTCTAGTACGACACGGTGAACCATCTTTTCTCGAAGAAAACCTAGCAACTGATCCAATATACTCTTTCCATTTCAGAACAGTGAAAAGCGTTAAACCGATAAGGTGCAATGAGATACTTTCGTAGAGGTTAGCATCAGCCATACTGATAAAAAGCAGAAAACAATGATTTTAGACAATTATAAGAAAGCAATTTCGTTTTGGAGGCGTTATTATTAAGAAGCTATTATATTTATATTATTAAAATGATTTATAATTTCAAAATATTAAGTTAATGAGAATATGCTGCAATTTCACACACAGCTGAAAGTAGTTCTGGAAAAGGCCCCGAAATGAGGAAGAGAAAGAATATTTTACACCATAAAAAATTAATCAGATAATATATCGTACTAATGTTCACAATCATAATTAATGAATTTAAGCGCAGTACTAGATTGGCAATAAGCGTCTTATCAATTTACAAAAGAATTGACTAGATGTAATCTTAAGTTCTATGCTAACAGTTTCTTTTCTCGAACTTCTTTCTTGGGAACTCTCTTCCGACTCCATGCTTTCCGGCCAACTTTGTTCTTCAAAAATTTAAATGCTCTATCGATCGTTATCTATTGTCTTTCTGATTACTTTATTGTTCTTGATCCTTCATAATGATTGCTTTTCTTTTTTACTTATTTTTCCACATCCAGTAATCCCTGGTGTCTTAGTGGCTTTATTGCCTTGCTTGGGGTATATTCGATTTAAGAAAAATGTGGCGTGAAATGATCCAACTGACTTAGCAGTCACTTGATTTGTAGCCCATTGTTGTTAAGAACTGCAATGGATGCGGTTAACACTTGGTGCGGAGAAGCGAATGTAAAACGCAGGAGATTTTATATATATATATATATATATATATATATATATATATATATATATATATATATATATATATAGGTGTAACAGAAAAATAGTACAAAACATGTAACAGCATAATTGTTCATCCCTCAATATGTTTAATATCTAAAAAACACTAAAGTAATTGAGTTTCTTTTCTCCAACTTTTACGATATGACGTTTAGCCATCTTGATACCATTTATCGTAAGAATCACTGAAAAGCCCTTTGAGTTTTTCAGCTAGAAAGAGAACAGGTTAAAATCACTATGTGTCAGCCCCACTGTCTTCCCAAATGAGCGATGGTGAGAGGGGAAAAATCATTCAGGCCTTCAGTAATGGTACCAACATCCGTACTGGCTTCCATCTTGAAAGTCCTTTCAAGAACCATCAAGAGAACGGTGAATAAGTTTAAAAAAGAGAGAACAGTAGAAAGAAAAACTGCATCAGAAGATGACAACAGCAAGAAGGATGATCATTTCAACTTAGAGCTAAAGAAATTTTAGTTCATGATCGATTTCATCACGAATCTTTTTTTTAAGCTTTGGAGAGTATTTATACATTCTTATTGCTCAAAGTAGAGTCCAGTAGTGTTATAAAAACATCGCATAAT